CTCCTTATATAACCAATTTCATATATTAAAAAACAACCTTAACCATAAAATTGTTAACAAAGAATTTACATACTACTGGATAAAAGAATCAGAGATACACACTTACAGAATGAAACTAATGATTAAAAAACAGCTCAACAAACATGTAACTTCAATTCAAACATTTGAAAACTATCAATATTATCAGATATAGTATTAAACACAAGATCCAAGTAAGAATCCTAACAATATACTTTCCACCAGTAAACAGACTAGCTAACCTGGTAATATGCACAAGATTGATAGAATGGATTAAGTTAATAATTTAAAAATTTGACACAACTGACATTAATAGAATTATAATTATAGGAGACTTCAATAGTGTAACCAATTCCAGCATAGACAGATCTGTAACATCTAAATACAAATCAACTAAAATAGAGGATCCCGTTCTCAAGCATCTTATAGTTAAAAATATATAGACACATTTCATACAATACAAAATATTAAAATAGAAGCAGATATAGATAACATAACAAATATCTTGTAATTCATCTGAATCATAATGATTTCAAATCAAGAATAGATCAAATTTAGTTATTATCCAAAACATCAGACATATTGATCGATGTAAACATTATAAACACTGAAGAAGAAATTACAACAGACCTCCATTGTACCAGAGTGATACTGCTTAACACATTTTACAAACAACCTTCTCCAGTAAGTAAAAAGCCCAATACAGATAGAAACTTAAACAAATTTATCAAAGAATTATTCAATAGGATAATTGAAATAACAAACTCACCAATGCTTAATGGCAACAAATTAAATTCAATATTATATATAGTGCAAATAAAACCATTAAATAAACTAAACAGAATAACAGTCAGATAGCATTGTATAAAGCATATTTACATAACCACATCTCCATATATACAAATGTCATTAATATACAGAAAATATACAGAATTCTCCAAGAAACAAAACATAACTTCAAAATTAATTATTCTATAATGCAACTGTGGCTAAACAACTTAATCACATAACACAACAACAAATTAACATCCTCTAATCTTGCTATAGATTTATCAAATATAACTAATAAGACAATACAATTGATAACAAACTATAAAACATAAAAGAACTACTTATAATGATAAAAAAAACTTGTAAAATAGAAGTACAAATTATAGCAAAATTCATATAAAATCTAATATTCTAAATAGACAAACTCTTTTTATAACAAACAAAAAAAATTGTTAAAAAAAATACTATAATGATAAAAACTCCAGATAATCACAGAAACTGTCAAAGATCATACCATAGACAGATTAGTGCTACTAACAAATCCAGTACAAATTAGAAGTTTAATATCTAAAACATTTGCTCATGGGCAAAAAATAATCTCACTATAAACTTATCTACATTACCAGAATGGAAAAAGGAATACATTCCCAGATCTGAAATGAATGGACAAATATTTAACAGCATCATGTCACCATTCTCAACAAAGGAAATCCAAAAAATTATTAAAGACATGTTCAACAAAAAAGTCTCTAGAGAATCAAATATTCCATACAAATTCTGGAAACATCTAGATAACAACCACTTAACTGAATTACACTCATCATTTAACAAAATTCTAGATACTAAACAAATTTCAAAAGATTGGAACTATAGTAACACTTTCCTCATTGCAAAATTAAAACCATTGGAAAAGAATCTTAGAATGACATATTCCATTGTTCTGCTGGAATCAGTATGTAAAATATTCACTAAATTACTTTACTTATTGATTGTAAATGTCCTTACAAAAAACAAAATACTATTATAATCAAATTGGACAAAATTATCTGGAAGCTCAACCAATGGTTTAATTCATATCATTAGTAACTGTCTGAAAGATGCAAGGAAATACAAGAAACTTATATAGATTCTTATTCAGGATATTTTCAAAACATTTGACCATCTGTTACTCTAGCTGACACTTAAACATATTAATATACTAGATAATCTAGTCATCATAATAATGAACATATATACTAAAAACACTACAAATTTAATTACCTTTCATGGTAAAACTAATAAATTTATTCAACTAACTGGCATTTCACAAGGGAACACTCACTCTTTACTTCTATAGTGAATATACTACAATTCACTTCTGACCTGACTAGACTTCTGTTCAGAAGACTATAACTTATTTATGGAACATTATCTATTAAACATTAACAAATCTAAATATCACGCAAAAGTCTATGCCATCACCTATATGAATGATACTACTTATATAATATTCACAAAAGAAGAATTAACAAAATTTCTTTCACTAACAAAAGAATTTTTCTCATTTATAGGTATGACTATCAATCATACAAAATCAGAACTATTCACAATTAATGTGACAAAGTCAAAGGAACCAAAAGCTTCAATAGAATTCAGAAGCTAAAAAATTATAAATATGAAAAAAATAGAAGCAATCTGATGCCTAGGAATCTACATATGACATAATAAAAACAAGATGTACCAAACTAAACTAATTATAGACAAAGTTTCAAAAATCTGCAACATCAATGTTTAACAGACAAAGAAACATGTTATATCATTAATTATGTGATCTTCCCCAAAATTGAATACCTAATACAAGACCTAATGATTACAAATTTGCTCAAAAATAAAGTCAACTCCAAATATTTCACTGCTCTAAAATAAAAAGCAAGATTTGCTCAAATTGCTATTAACAATATATGTACTACAAAATTAGGATATAAACTATAAGATACATATTACAGATATGCGTAACAACACATTAATACTTTTAGTGCAATAATTAATGACCAATTAATCATGGAAGCTATAACAAGAATCAAGTTACAAGCAGCACAAACTAATTGTGAATCTCAAATTCAATTTTAAAAAGAAATATTTCAAAAGAACAGATAATATCACATCAAAATTTGACACTAGATATATTAATACTAGCAAAACAATATGAAATTAGGTCTACATTTATTATCTCCTCAAAAATCACTACCACTTCCACTGGGGGGGGGAGGTACATATTTTCCAATTCTGGAACAACAACATTGAAGAATATGTCAACTCACTGAAACAATTATGCCAATATAAAATAGCATTTCTTAAACAACTTCTGGATTTTAACTATAACTTGATGGACTGGAAATATCTTCGAACACAAATACTGTCATATTTGATAAAATAGCTCAAACCCAACATAACATTAAAAAAGAACTCTTAATTAGCAATTCTGATAATATATAATCCATTACTTAAAAAACCTAAATGAAAGAGAAATCACTTATATATTAAAACCTTATTCAGGATGCCATATAAAAGATAAAAGTATTTCAGACTGAAGAACAAAATATTTATAATTACCAAAATTTAGCAGACCAAACAATGGAATACATAACAGTACAACTGACTAAAGAACAACCTTATGATTACGAACTAATACTAAAACACTACCAAATAATAAACCCACGAACAGAAATAATAAGTAAACTACAGTATAGAGATTCTGACATGAGAAGTGACATGTCGCAAAATAGTGAAGAAAACAATTTACCAACTCACAAAACACAACAGATAAAAAAATTATACAATATTGACTTAGAATTCGTCGGAGGAAGAATTTGAAAAAAAATAAATCAAGCTAACACAGAGAATCAAAATTTCGAAGTATCAGCGTTACGATCGTCTTTATTATTATAATTTTCGTATTCACAACTCTAATCGATGTTTAATTCATCCTGAGCATAACATTGAGCTGATATTAAATTTTTACATTTGCCAAATAAACGGTTTGATGGATGTAGAGTATTTTTTTTACGTTAAATAATTATATAAAATTAAATTATAAATTTTACTACAATTTTTCTAAAATAAAATTATTTATCCTGAAATTATTGTATTTAAAATTTAACTTTTATTTTCTTCTATTTAATCTTATATTTATCGGTTATCATAAATCTACGAGTGATTTTTTGTAATAAATAAATAATAATCGAATAGATCTAATACAACACATACATTGGTGTAAGTTTAGAAACGTTTTAAAAAAAAAATCAAAACATACAATTCTGGGAAATGTAATTAACGTTTAAATAGATATTATTTATATTGTTTTATGATTTGTAACCACTTTACCGTTGCATATATATAAGATTATAATATAAATATAATCGTTAGATACTGTATGTATTTATTTTTTGAAACACTTTAAGGAATATTAAATAATAATTTATTTACCTGCATGTATTCATGAAAAAAACCATTGCAGAAATATGACGCTCGTCGTCCAAACACATGATACATATTACATTTTCCGCATATAAAGAACTTATTAGGTACTTTTGCTTTATCAAATCACATTTCTCATTTCCGGATCATATTAGATTTCTGCAGGGGGAATGGAACATTAATAAAATAAGGCACATGATATCTTAATTTATTATCTTTCGGACCTTTATTGTTTTTCATAGATGATCATTTATGTGCATGATAATCAGGAAAATTTTTGATTGGTTAAACACTAAAATCCGATGATTTTATTGGCTAAATTTCATTTTGTTGAATAAATAATACTGAAATTTATGAAACCTTAACTTTTGAAATATTATTGGTTGTGTAATAAAAATTAAATCATTTCATTTTTTTTGTACCGAATTATTTTTTTAGTCAGAAATTCTTTTTCTATCCGACGTTAAATGATTTAAAGAGTCCATAGTCATCGCCTAAAAGTTATGCGATGCACTTTGCGGTATGATCGATTTGTTTCCACTTATAAAATCACCACATTTACATGATATATCCTGCTCGCACTGAATAAAAAAAAAAGAAAATAGATTATATCTGTAGATCCATGTGAATGTGGTGTTTTTTTTTGTGCAATTTCTTCTTTAGGATTTGAAGTAACGTTTCAATCTCTATATTAGACAATAATGATAATGTCGGTAGAAATAGGGACAAATCTCTTCGCTCTTTATACGATAAAGATGTCTTTCTCGAATAACAAAAAAGATTTGATTCGAATTACAGAAGATCGAAAGTTTCAAAAATTTGATTATGATACATTTGAGGATATTGAACTAATTATGAGGGGAGGATTTGGTGCAGTCGATTGGGCCTATTCGAAAGATTTAAAAAATTATGCTGCATTAAAATATTTGTACGATGAAAATAAAAATAATTTTTATAAAGAGGTAAATATATAATTTCGTTTACAATAATTAAGAATATTTTTGAAACGTAATTTAAATATAATTTCTTTTTAAATTATTAGTTACAAAATGTTAATGGATTAAATCACCACAAAAATATTATTAAATATTATGAGTCAGTATCGGTAAAATAAAATTACTATTTATTGAATTTATGTTATACAATATTTAATTAAATAAAAATATTTAAAAATATTATTATATTATTTAATATTTAGATCACTCAGTAGAGAAATGCTACCTAGTGTTAAAATGTGCTAAAAGATGATAATTTAAAAAATCTGCTTACAAAATAATTTCAAAGATCTTGACCGGAAAACTAAAATTAATGTGGCTCAAGATATCACAAATGGTTTATATTATATACATAAAGTAACTATTGTTCATTGAGATTTAGTAAGTATATATTACATATAATATGATTTTGTAAATTTAGAAATTATATAATTTAATATACAACTAAAAATTTTTTTTTTTTTAATAGCATTCAAAGAAAGTTTTAGTTCATGACGGAAGATTATTAATTACAGATTTAAGCTTATCTCAACCATTAGATACCAATTCTAATTCCTTAACGAGAGGAACATTTGCGTACACAGATTCTGAATATTTACGATATCATATAATGTATAAAAGAAATAAAGCTTCTGATATTTATAGTTTAGGAGTTATTTTTTGGGAGCTATCAAGTGGAAGACCTCCATTTAATAATAAACAAAGTTTAGAAATGTTAGGAATGGTTAAATCCGGTTTAAGAGAAGCATCCATCAATGGAACACCAGAGGATTACATCAATATTTATTCAAAATTCGGAAAGACCATCCAAAGCAAAGACCAATTATAGAAAATATTGTGATTCCTTTTCAATTCGAAAAACATATTCTAACGAAAATAATCAATCTATCCAAATAGAAGTTTATGTTGATAATCAATTAAATGAATCTAAATCTATGGTACCTTACAATAGAGATTCTAGATCAGTGATGCAAATTGAATCAAATAATCAAATTTCTTTCGAAACTTCAATCGGTCAAGTAAATTTAGAAATCACAGGTATTTCTTTGATATATTGATAATTATAAACAACTTTATATTAACATTCATTAATTCAAGTATATCAAGTAGCTCTTGCTATTTTGTTATGACTCAAATTATTTATTGTTAGTTAATATGTATGAATTATTTATTGACATTATAGAAATATGATTTAATAAAAATGTTCTATTATATATGTTATCTATCTATTCCAGTCTTTTCAGTTCTAGGAAATCCTTGGGAATCATCAACTCTTTCTCTCAATTCTTACGATCAAGGATGGCTTAACAATGAACTTGAAAATATGGATATAATGTTTTTGAAAATCTTGAATATATTAGTGAAAGAATTCACAATGTTACATCAATGAATGATAAAACGAATATGACTTTAAAATCTATTATTGTTAATTCCGTGGAATTATTTGAATTATTTGTTAATGAGGTAAATATTGTTCTAATTAATATATATTATACTAAAAACTCGAAATTTAATAAATTATTATTAATTTATTTTATTATATTTTCAGCTTAAAAGCATTTAAATATCAAATCACATGAAGATATCATAGAATTCCGAGGAATTTCACAAAAAGGTAAAAAAATTAAATGAAATTGAATTTATAAATAATTTTTAAATGAAAATACATTTAATTGTATAATTATACATATATATATATATATATATCTATTTTGATACAGATTTGAATACTAGCAATTATATACTTGTAATTAAATATTCAAATGGTGAAGCATTACGTGATTATTTGAAATCCAATTTTCAAAAATTTTTGAATGGCGTAACAAGTTAAAACTTTCCCGACAAATTCATCTGATATCATTCATGGAGATATGGTAATTGTTTAAATTTGAATTTTTTATGATTAACAATTATTTTTTTTTAACTCTAATATAATTACTTTATAGAACTCGGAGAATATTCTTATCCATAATCATTCTATTAAGATTAGTAATTCCGGTATATCCAAACTTGTTATTAAACCTTCAATCGATTTATTAAATTCCTTGGGATTAATCAAGTACTTCTTAAAGCAGAATGAAAATTTAGTGGGACTAAAGTATCTGACATACATAGTGTTGGAATTTACTGTGGGAAATTCTATACGAATCATGTGAATCTCGATTACAAGATGAATTCGAAAAATTCGATTTAATTCTTATATTATTAAGGGAAATAGAAAAATTCCAATTCAAGAAACACCTCAAATTTATGTTAAGATCTATCTATCAAGGTTTGTTTTTAATTTAAAATGTAAACTTAATTAATATCTTATGAAATTTTATTTCAATTACATATTTGAATTTTTAATTCAATTACTTGATTAATAAATTACTTGATTAATAGATTGTTGGAGTCAAGACCTGGATCAAAGTATCTTGAACATGTCGCAATAGTTGATTCTTCATCAATTATTAACTATCACCAATTGCATACAAATTCACGCCACGGGTCAAATATCTTAAAAATATCTGCTATAAGTCGCCCCGAGACAGAAGAGGCTACAAAACCTCGAGTCACGTGATTCCGGAGATTACTGAAAATGTCAAGTTTAATAAGAATATCCGTGATTCACTGAGGCGGTCATCAGATCTTTAAAAATAAGCCAAGCAAAGTTGAAAATGAAATGATTTTCGTAATCAAACTCAGTTATTCGTTTTTTTGATATCATGAAACGAATTAAGAAATTTATCATCGAAATATCGAACTTACACAGTTACCAAAAATTCTTAGATAGCGACATACTAAAGACTTTGATGTAGTAATGATTGAATTGCATTTTATAATGGATCAATCCGTTCTCGAATCTGCAATTATAAGGTATGAATAAGGTAATTCACATCTCAATTCTTTTTGAACTTCTTTTTTTTTTCTTATCATCTAATATTCTTTTTCATTATTATTAGTTTTTGGGAAAGTATAGGGCGTGGCATTGACGAGATCAAACAATCAATATAATTCTCCATGAAGTGTCATTAATGAATAAAAGATTGAATCATTGTTCAGATAAAATTATTAAAGCAATTAAAAATAAAACCAACGCCAAAAAGCAACAGATCGTCGAGAGAAAAATCCTCAAATAATGTAAAAATTTTGAGGTCGTCTGCATGCCAATGGATCTTCAAAATGAAAACCCAAAAATTCAAAATCATCTAGCTATATTAGTTCCTACATCTGGTTTTTCAATTATAGAAAACTCTAACGTTATGGCATTTGAATGAGCAGAATATGGTTCGCTCAGAGAATTGTATTGTCAATATGACATTATATTACATGAAAAGTACAAGTAGTTCTTGATATTTGTCGTAGCCCTATATTTTTTACATTCTTGTGATATTCTTCATTATGAATTCGATGTGAACATATTAAGGTAAGATTTAATAACTTTAATAATAATATAATTCATATAGTTTTTATATATAAATTCTAATAAGGTCCATTTAATTTTTTTATTTCTATTTTTAATAGATGACTGGACACCTGATACCAAAAAATTGCAATTTTAAGTATTCCCGTATGACAAACATTGACAGTGTGCAAGTGCATTAGATTTTATTCGTTGGTTGACTCCCGAAAAAATGCGAGATGTTTCTGTTCATTATACTTTCAAATTCGAGATTTTCAGGTAATAATTACAGTTATGCATTCTATTGATTTATTTGTTTATTGAATTAATTTGGTTAATTTCATATTGTTCCTTGTATTTATATTTAGTCTTGGTATTTTACTCTGGCTGGTAAAAGGGAATCTTCACGTAGTGAATGCTTCACTAGATTTTCAAAAGCTTCAAAAAGATTTGACGAAAATCATTGTGTCTGGTAATCTATTTTATTACTACTGTTTCATTAACTTTTTGTTTTTAGAAAAAAAATTGATTTATTTAGCTTATTTAATTTATGAAAAGCCTGGGCCTCGCTTCAATATTTTATGAATTAGAAACAACTAGCTGATGAATATTGTATATCCGACAAGGAAATTGTTTTGCTTGATAAGGAATTCGATTTAGATGGATCTTCTCAATGATAAAAGAAGTTTTACAAAAAGTAATTCATTTATTCTATTTTTTCAATTTACTATGAAGGATTATTTTTCTTATAATTTATATTAGTTTCATTTATATTCTCATTCAATATTAAAAAAATAGAATACAACTAATCTTAAATATTTCTTACCTAATTCTTCACCTTTTCTTTCCTAAGTTTACCATACAATTATGCATCACAAGTTATATTACGCATTGTGTTTGCCATCACCCGCTGCTTTTTTAAATATTCAAGACTTCACGATCAAATTTTAATGGAGGATTTTAACAAATGAAAATGCATAACGTAATCGATGCCATCATCAGTTGCTTCTTTAAATAATCCAGGGCTTATTTACGATCTTTCTCAACGCCAAATCTTTCGAAATTTGCAGTTGCATTACTTAAATCCAAAACAATCTCAAGCTGCTTGATATTCTTTTCCCCTATGTGCTACAATATCTTCTATTCAAGAAGCATTATAATTGGTATCCGTGATCAGGCCACAACCCACGTTCATTTTTGATAAATCCAGACCACTTTCACCACTAATTGAATCTGAATTAGATTCATATAAAACATATTAAAGGCAAGTTAGCAAAACTATAAACATTAGCAAAGATTTTACCAGATATAATAGTTTTCGCTAATTTCCCTTGATATTTTTTCTCTTTGACCAAACAATGCATATTCCCCATATTCCAATTTCAATTTCATAAGGATTTTTTTTTTTTTTATAATATATTCCATGCACATGCACTTGAAATAGGTTGATATAATCTTTCGGTGTTTCATTAATAGGTGCTTCTCTTTTATCAGAAGCAACCAATTTATATATTTCTAAGCTTGGAATAATTAAATGGAGGTCTTCCACTTGATAACTCCCAAAAAAGAACTCCCAAACTATATATATATCTGAAGCTTTATTTCTTTTATAATTCATTTGATTTCGTAAATATTCAGGATCAGTGTACACATACATTTCACCAGCAATAAAATTTGAATTAGAATCTAATGGTTGAGATAAGCCTAAATCTGTTATCAATAACTTTCCTCATGGATTGAAATGTTATTAAAGTAAATGAATTTTTTAGTTATTCAATTTTTAATTATAATTCATAATCATTATATTCAGTACATAATGTAATATTTACTTACTAAAATCTTTATGAACTATATTTTCTTTGTGAATACAGTTTTAAACCCCTTGTAATATCTTTAGCCATATTAATTTTAATTTTCCAATCAAGAATTTTGAAATTATTTCAATTATTTCGTAATTAAGTCGTCCTCAAGTCACACCACCATATTGCAACATTAGATAGTAAAGAAAAATTTTGGTTGGGAAAAAATAAATACTTTGTTTTCATTAATATACTAAAATATTATAGCTGTAAATAATTTCATGGCAATATTATTGACTTTTATAGATATAGGTAAAATATATTATTATTTTAAAACATTATTATTTTTTAATAAAGAATATTATACCAAAGGCAACTCATGTAATATTTTCAAATGTTCTATATTCAAATTCTTTAATAAATCAATCTTTTAAGTCACTTTTAAACGGCTATATGGTAAAGATGATGATACAAATTTATTAAGGTTTTCGTTCAATTTATTCTTTTTACAATTTCCTTTATTTGGAAAAATGGAAAATATCTAGTAATTCCAAGATTCTCTCGAAATTATTAAGATTTTTTTTTCAATTTCTTTGGTAATTATATATATGCATATAAATGTATATATTAAATACATTTCATATAATTATGACTGAAATCAGACATCAATACCATAATAGCCAAATTTTAGAAGTAAAAAAAAAAAAGCACATCAGCTTTATCGAATGAATGGAAAGATTTATGCAAGAAAATAAGTAAATTATTTATACTATTATTGCTATATTTATGTAATAGATTAAATGATTTTAATAAATTTTATTTATTCAGATAAATCTGTTAATTTTATAGCTGAAGAAAGAAACGTATGTTAGCTGGATACTAATAACCATACTTATTGGAGGATCTTAGTAGGTAATTACCATCTAAATCTTGAATTTTTCTTTATTATAGATTAATTAATTCGATATGATCAAACTTTTCAATGAAGGTTATTCATCCTATTTCTGTTTGGTGGTAATATAAATTATATATCAACACAAAGTGTCAGTAGACGTAACTTCATTATTAGAAGAAGCTTCTCCTGGAATGATTGTTGATGATGATGATGATTTAATTAAAAATTTTCTAATAATAATTATAAAGGTAATAAATGTAATAGTTGGTTATTTATAAAATATTTGGTTGATTAATTATTTAATGGTGATTAATTATTTAATAGTAATTAATTGTTTTAAATAATTTCAAAAGAAAAATATTTATTCTTATTTCACTCACTCATCATCAGTTATTATGTAACTCGCATTTTAGTAATAAAAAAACCCTCATTTGAAATCCTTTTTTCTTGATGTCGGGATCTCACATAACTCCAGGAAAACTTGTTGTAACTGGTAGTATTGAGTCAAAACTTCATTATGGTCCATATTTACATGACTGGTGGATTTTTTCTATAGAAAAAAATTCAAGAAAACCAACTATACTATCCTATTTCTTTACGTTTAGAACTTAAAGTTATGATTCAACTTAATAATAATCCATTTGTTGTTCACATAGTAACGTTATAAGTCCTTTACAACCAGGTTATTTATGTGAAGGAAGGAGAATAAGTAGTGTATTATTAAAAGTGCTTCTGCAGCTATTACCTCTGGTTATCAATTAGCTTTTGGCGGTAAAACGAAATGTCCAGGACTCTCTTACTTAGACTTAGACCAACCCGGAAAAGCTCAAAAGCTACTAGGATTTACATTTCGTCCATTTATTATTGAAGTAGAAAATACGACAGTTTTATTGGTTGTCTTAGCAAAATTACAACAAACGTAAATCAAGTTGGTCATAATTATCATGATTATTATTCTACAAGTACAGAGGAATGCAATTAGTTTTTCATCAAAATATCAATAAAGATTTATTTTTAATTACAATTTATCAAAACAGTTGAATTGTTGTTGAATACAAAGATACTTCACCTAATACTGTCTGGAAAAAAACTGGAGTTTTGACATTTATTTTGGGTGAAACTCTATTCGCTATAAATCATTCTATAACTTTAGGTAGAATAAATCAAGCATATCAAGAAATTTGTCAATTGCCTAAATGTACACTTGCAGATTGAAATAATAAAACAATTATGGAAAAATTATATGAATTATATTTAAAAAGAAATGTTAGAAGATCATTTGAATGTATCAAGTATTTCAAAGTTGGATGCAACAAAAAAGTAACATAATTCATAATTGAACTTCTGTTAAAATTATTATAACTGTAAATTAATAGATCCTGTAGTATAGTAAATTAAAGAAATATAAATATAAAATATACTCATCCTAATAATAGAATACAATTTGGATTATGAGTTTCAAGAAAGAGAATTATGAGCGTGGCACACAATTCTTCTTGCCACAGGATGTACAAATATTATGAAGCTAATATTATATGTTTATTTATAGCGTGAATTTTGGACAAATGCATCTGATCCTGAAAAAGATTGTGAAACTATTGTCAAATTATATATACAGACGGTCTTTTGAATATAACATCAGCTCAAATATTTGGGAATTGCTTTCATGACAGTTATAATATAAATCTTAAAAGGATAAATGGTAAGACGTATATTATCAAAAATTGGAGAAGATTTTATGTATAGGGAATTAATCAAGGAATAAAAGGTCATATAAAATTTTATTAAATACTTAAGAAGATTTTATATATAAGGAATTTGTATTACTTATTCACCTGATACAATTTAGCACAAAAAATATTCTAGAATTAATGGACCTGGGTGCCCTATATTATATTAGAAAAACCAGTTATTACCTATTCAAAAATGTCTGAAGTTAAACAAAAGAATTTGAACTCTTTTTTTACTGATAAAGCAAATGTAAATATGAATTCTTATAAGGTAGATGCAAAACATAATTACCAGTATTTTATTTAAAAGATCAAAAAAGTGCATTTTGGAAAAAATTTTCTGCTACATACCCGAATGGAATGAAATGTACTTCCTTTATGTCTCACTTGCAAACAGCCATTTTAAATGTAAAGAGGATTTGGGAGGATTATGTCTAGCATGTAATGATTATAGATATTGGCCATTTGAAAATCTGATCAAACTAGTTACAAGGAATTTTTTTAATAAGATTCAAAGGGTTAGTATTAATTGTATTATTTTATTGTTCAATTATAATAATTATAATTATATTTACATGTTCTTTTATAGGATCATTTAATCCATGAATTAGAATTTTTATATTATCACCTAAACAAATTATGAAAAAGAATTATTTGCAAATGAAAATGGTCTAACGAATCATGTAAATCGCATTAACCATTGTCTATTATTTGCATTTGGAGATGTGTAAATCAACATTTTTCATGTTGTGACAAATGTGACAAGATTTTGATATTTTAATGATCTTAAAAATCAACTTGATGCTTTCTATATATCATCCCAAACTTATAGAATACCAAGAACAATTAACATTTTATTTAGCACACCAAACTCATAAGATGCATAATTTAATTATACCTTATGTGATTTAGATAATTATGAAAGCTATTATTGTTGTTGATTACAAAATGAGAATTTCACCTGCAACAACTTGAGAGACAAAAAGTGAATTTTTTGGAAAGTGTGAGTGGACCCCTCTTCTTCTCAACTCCGCTTGCCTTTTTCTAACATATTTTTCTCCCTTCACTTCTTTCCTTCTTATTTTGCCCTCCCTCTTTCTCTGAAGCACCCTCTCATCACTGACTGAATCACTGAGTTCACCAATTTCACCTTCTTTTATTCAACTCCACTTGCACCTTACATATTTTCACTCCCTTCACTTCTTTCTCTCTTATTAAACCTCCTCTCTTTTTTAATCACCAATTTCACCTTTTTTCTGTTGATTTAGGCCAAGCCATAGGGTAACTACACAAAAAAAAAAGGCTAAATACTTGAATTCATTAGATTCGATCAAGAGTTTCCTCTCAACAAGGGATGGGCCTTGAAAGTGAACCTAAAACTTGGCAATAAGGGTGGGAGAAAACGTACATCAAAAAGGTGGTTCAGTATTTACGAGGTATTTTTTAGCTGGAAATTTGAGAGCCGCTATTCACCTGAAAATATGCATAACTGTTTAGAAGAATTAGCTTCAACAGTGAAAACAAAAGTGCCAATTTCAAGAAAGAAACATTAGAGTGAGCGTTGGCAGAGAGTAATAAGGAAAATATAGTGAACCAATAAAGGTCAAGAAAATGTCAAAAGGAAGATTAAAAAAATACAACTATTTATTTTAGCAAAGTAGAAATCTGCATAATGCAATAATAAACTAGTATGAAATCTCCATTTCCTCTATATAAGCTCTAAGAACAATAATTGTTTTTTTAATTGTATATGTTTTCTGAGATTATGAAAACACAAATAAATGACACTCTTAATTTCAGAATTCTACTTTTATTATAGATCTATATGACACTAAACAGTATTTTAAATATTTTTTTTAAAAGGAGCAACAAACGACACAATAATTTATATTTTTCAAAATTATAATTAAGTGCGTGTAGCGTTTATTTTTTTTAAAAAAAATTTATTAAAATAATTAATGTAAAAATAGTGCATATACAATAAAGATGTTTTCTGATTTTCAATATCAATTAAATAACATAATAAACTTTGTAAGAATAATTAAAAATTTAAGATTATTAGATAGGCAAAGATCACTTGAGTTCGAATGAAGATATATATGATTTCATGTACAATATAATTCTTTCTTTTCACTTTTCATCTTTGGAAGTACCGATTCCATGAAATATCAATTCGTAAGAATATATTGTTCATCACTTTAGATGTCTTTATATACCATTAAAATGCTTTCTCTTCATCTTTTATTGCTCCAATCCCATTTTAATAACAACATCCAAGATTACATTGTCCATACATATTTCCCCTTTCTGCTGTATCATTGAAATGCTTTCTCTTCATCTTTTGTCGTTTCCAATCCCATTTCCATAATAATAGCCAGGACTAAACTACCCGTTGTTATTTCCACCTTCAGCTGATTTCTTGTACCACTTAAATGCTTTCTCTTCATCTTTTGTCGTTCCAATCCCATGTCGATAACAATATCCAAGATTATTCTGTCCATAACTATTTCCCTCTTCTGCTGATTTCATGTACCATTGAAATGCTTTCCCTTCATCTTTTGTTGTTCCGATCCCTTTTTCATAATAATATCCAAGATTAAATTGCCCCGAATGGTTTCCCCCTTCTGCTGATTTCATGTACCACTGAAATGCTTTCTCTTCATCTTTTGTTGTTCCGATCCCATTTTCATAATAATATCCAAGATTAAATTGCCCCAAATGGTTTCCCCCTTCTGCTGATTTCATATACCACTGAAATGCTTTTTCTTCATCTTTATTTGTTCCAATCCCATGTCGATAACAATATCCAATTTTATTTTGTCCACCACCATTCCTCCCTTCAGCTGATTTCAAGTACCACTGAAATGCTTTCTCTTCATCTTTTGTTGTTCCGATCCCTTTTTCATAATAATATCCGAGATTAAATTGCCCCAAATGGTTTCCCCCTTCCGCTGATTTCATGTTCTGTTGAAATTCTTTTTTTTCATTAGTTCCAATTTTATCTTCCATTTATGTAAATATTTTTGTTTAGCCGTATAATAATTATTAATATATAAATATGAATGAGGAAATAATTATATAGAGATAAGAAACTTTTATAATTTTTTTATTAAAAATAACGATATATTGCATATAAAGAATGAGATTATAAGTAATACAATTTTAGAAGAAGTTAATTAACGATACTTGTAACAGTTGACTTCATAAATATTCATAATTATTTATTATTGTGACTTCAAAATATTCTTTGTCATATAATTGGTTCATTGTAAATATTGATGCTCAGATTGCATTGCATTCATTATATATAATAGGGTCGGAGTCAATCATGAGATCTTCCTTTTACCATGGCCAATAATTTTTGTTTATACGAATCAGCCCGATGCCCGATGTCTAAACATATCTTGATGCACTAATAAAATGTTGGGGAGACACTTTTACATATAATGTTTACTTAAACCCTAACCCTAACCTGGCCCTCACCTCACTCTAATATTAATTAACTTCGGGGGAATCATGTGATTGACTCCGCTTTAGACATCCCTTGCCTAAAAATTATGATTATGAGATGCACTGATCAATTTGTTCCTTTGACAATCATCACCGTTTCTTTTTTTTTGTAAAAGGAATGATTTCCACGTTTTTTTTGGATTTTAATAAAATGAATAGTTAAAATAAATTTGTGATATTTTTTTCTACATCTGAAAATGAACTTGTATTTTTAAAATCGATGTGACTTCAAGATACCGAACTTTCAAAAATAATAATTTATCAAATTTAATGATCACATTTTGAGCAGTAAATAATGATAAATCAATGAATCGATGTCAGTTATTATATTTGATACCTTTGATTTGATAATTTCATCTTGGCAATTAATTGTTATAATTTGTAAATATTAGCTAATTCTCTATTCAGAGTCAAGTAAAATATTTGGAAGTGTAGCATTTAGCTGGAAAAGGGATGATTATCTAGAAAATAATATTGTTGAGATGAAAGGTATTTGTGTATAACATATTATTCTTTTATTTTTCTTATTTAAGAAGCATTTTTTTTTAAGATAGAAAGAAGAACAAGAACATAAAATATATAATAATTCTTGTTATATATTAAAGACTTGATTCACGGAGATTTCGCCTTTTGAATAAACCATAGTCAAATTGTCAAAAATTATCTGGCTGGCGTAATAAAAA